GGGGGGGATTGTTTTGTTTTGTTTGTTTTTACATTGATTGGAGATAAATATTTTTTTGGTAATTTATGATCGCTTGATAATAAATTAAACATTTTTTTGGGGTAATTTATGATGGCTTGATAATAAGTTTGTGGGGGGTGGGGGTTGAAATCAAAAAGTGGGTTCAAAGGTCGATTTAGTTGAATGACATGCTTGATGTTTCCTGTGTTGTATATATATAATATATATATGTTATTGTATGTAACCTCAGGTTGTCATTGTGGAAATATGAGCAATAATGATGGAAATTTTAATTTTTGAACAATTTGAAGCTTACGCAGTCAACTAATATTGTGGTCAGCTGTTTGGAATAGCATAATATGTGTAAAAATTAGTATCTCATTTTGGAGTCTTCAGTTTCCAGGAGAATGAAATCCGCCATCTACTTCCCACATATGTTCAGAGTGCGTCCTTATTATCTTGTGATGTTCTTGTGCTGCTGTGTAAATGACTCACGTCAGTTATTTTTAGTGTGTGGTTGGAGGGGTGGGTGCTTTGATGTGGTTTGCTCTTTCTTTCCTGTCAAACGTCTATCATCCCTATCTTTCCTCCTTTTGTGTGTTTGTTACTCTCTTGTAGCAACCCCCCGGGGCAGTTCCACTGACTATAGTGTCTTTAGGCCATTCCTGAAGGTGGGACATTGTAATTAATGGGCTGACTCGTGTCACGCTTATAACTGTGCCTGATCTACAACAGGGAATTGCTGCTTTTTCTTTACTGATCCTTACTATTGTCATTTTCCTCTACTTTTTTTGTATGTTTGTCACTCCCTTGTGACCTGCTATTTCCGGGGTTCCGTGATAGTCGAAGCAGACCTTGTGCTATTGAAGCTAGAGAGGTGAGCAGTCAAAGTCTGATTCCCTGTATAGACTTCTCTGTTGACACCCACCCCTTGGCGCTCATGTGACTGTATGCAGTTGCGAGCGCCGTAAAACCCTCTACTATAAAAAAAAATATCTCTTGTGACATCTCTAATCTTCCAGCACTCAAATGATATAATTGTGTTATGTTGCCGTAAATCTTTTACCAAATAGAATGTTATTTTTATATAATGATCGATGGCATTTTTTTCTTACTCCTTTTCCCCTCTGTCTCGCCAGGGGCTTCGTAACAGTTCTCCTTATAAGTCATCCCAGACCCTTGTCATCATCGTCGTGTTCTGTTGCACGTCCTCAGCCGCAGACAACAACAACAAGGAGGCCTCCCCCCCGAGCTTCCTGTCACGCCCTTTTCTCCCACGGCCTGGATCTCCACACTGGCCCACGGCTGGATCCTCAAGTCTGAACGATTTTACCTAACACCTTACTCCCCGACGCTGCGGCTTTCATTGATGGGGTGATCACACACAACCCCCCCCTACCCGTCCTGTCCTCTGTCCTCCGCTGTGTGTGTGTACAACAGGCGTGACTGTGTCAGCTCTGTACTGGTGTTGCCGTGGAAGTATTACGCAAGGCCGGTTCTGATTGCTGGGAGCGGTTTTGGGAGTCTTGGTTTGTGCTGTAAGGAAATTGAACTGTGGTGTCCCCTCCTCCTCTCTCTCTCTCTCTCCCCCCCTCTTTCTCGCTCAAGATTGGCAGTAGAGGAAGGAAAGAAAAGAAGGAAGGAAGGAAGTGAAAGCAGGAGTTCATAGAGAGGTCATCACCAGTGTTGTACTGAAGAGGCATCCATCCCAACTGTGTGTTTCTAAAAAGGCCTTGTTCCAAATAGTATTTTCAATTGAGTATAGCCCCAACGCGAGGAGTGTTCCTAGTTCCACTGAAAGCCCTCCAGTCTTTCACAAGCTCGGTTGTCTCGGAGCCACCAGCGACGACTCCTCTCTCTTGCGCCTTCCATTGCAATACCTTTATATCTATATGTAAGAAATCTGTCCCGCTGGATATCTCTACCATCGTGAAGTTGGGACACGTTGAGCACAAATTAATGTCAGTAACCAAGATAGGGGTCAAGAGGTCAACGTAGTCTCTGCATTGACCTGCCTGTATTGGTGTTCGCCAAGAAGAGAAAAAGTTGTTTCTGTGAAATGAGGAGAGGTGCAGTGCAAATCTAGTCTACTACTCATTTTTTTTCGATCCATCGTGATTTGACGCATTGCCGCCGTGAACTTTTCATCGTCATCGTGATCGTCATCCTTCACCTTGCCATCAAGTGTTCACTCTGTCTTCAGGTGTGTGTTACATTCATTGAGGATACCTCTAATCTATATTTATGATTGAAAGCTCATTCCTGAATAGTAATCATTTATGTAGTTTGGATTTGTTTATCATTCATCAATTTGCCTAGAATAGTTCTGTATACCTCAATCCTCGAGAATAGTATTATTTATTCGGTGTATTTATTTGTGCGTCCTGGGGCATAATTGTACATATTTAGTCTTTCCCAAAAGTATTTCTGTGTGAACATAAGTTTGTTTTAGTTCAGCAGTGTGGTAACTTCCAAGAGATTTTTTTTGGTCAACTGTTGACTTTTGTCTTTTCATTTTTGGATTCTGCACAACTTTTGTATCCATTTTTGTGGATGAGTTTGTTGATAAAGATAAAACTGAGTTCCTGGAGTCCAGCAAAGAGTTGGTGATCCATTAGTTGTATTCAGTCCCCCCCAAAGCATCTTCAACAGGAGAGCGTTTCATTTGTTTTCCCACCGCATGCCAGCAGAAGCAGTGACAAAAGTCAACGATGAAGGCGAGAAGACCCGAACCGGCAGAGATCTGCCACAAGAATATGCGCTTTCTCATCACGGACAGGCCCACAGACTCCAACCTGGATAAGTTTGTACAGGTGAGCTTATTGTCTTTGTCTCTACCTCTGTGTTTTCACAAGTTATATGGTCCCTTTTAAGGACAAGCGGGCTAACCCAGGTTTTGGGGGTTTCCAGAAATCTTGAGCTACACCAAAAGTTGGTATTGCCCTACCTATAGGAGAAGTTTGGTTTCATTGGTGTGTATATCTGTTTGGTTAGAGAGAAAACTCTCCTTGTCTTTTAAAAAAAATGAACAAGGGGCAAAAACTTTACCTTCGATTTTCTCAAAACAGCATTTTTCGGGATAGCCCCCTTGAGCTTAAAAGTGACCATATATGGGGTTTGTATCCGTCATTTTTTATATTTTTTTTATTGGGGGAGGTAGTGAGTGCCCTTCAGAGTGCGAAGGCTTTTGCCTCATTTACGTCAAAGTATAGTCGAAACTAAGACACCCATTGTAGAGGAGAAAAGTGGCCGTTTTACACAGGGATTGTAATGTATAAAATACTCAAGGGAGGGAGTGGGAAGTGGCTGTTTGTGCAGTTGATTGTCTTGTATACAGGTGGCTTTTAGAGCAGGTTCTTATCATCCTTATTTCCTCTCGTGAGTGGTTGGCGGGTGCTCTGGTGTGGTTTGCTTCTTCTTTCCTGTCAAACATCTATCGTCCTCATCTCCCGTCCTCTTTTATGTTTGTTATTCTCTTGTAACACCTCTAATCTTCTGGCGCTCAAATGACCATATGCAGTTGCGAGCGCAGAAAAACCTCTACTAAAACAAAGAGCATGTTCGACTGTACTAAATTGTTGTAAGGGGCATTGACATTCCAGTGGCTGTGGTTTGCTACTTGGATGGTGAGAGTACTGCTGTTCTGATCGATCTAGAAGCTGGTTTCTGCTGAATGCAGGCCATGTCGTCCAGAGCGACCAATTTGTAAACAGTGGTACAGTTGATTTGTTTTATCCCTATCTGTACGCACTGGGGTCATTTTATACCACTGGGGTTGTATTCTTCACATTTTAGAATGCTTCTAGTGCGAAGATCTCTTTGAAACTTTCTGTATATTTTTCAGTATTTCTCAAAAAATCAATTTGACAGACTCCTATGCAAAGCGTACGGATCGGATTAGCAAGTAAATTTCCTCTTTGGAAAGTGATGGCGCAGAGTTCTTCACGTAGTATGGATACGATAGTAAAACACGATGTATGGATAGGGTTTTAAGTGGTGGCACAGAGTTCGCCAAGTCGTATGGATACGATAGTAAAGCACGACGTACGGATAGGGTTAAAGGCCTCTCGTTGTTGAGGAGAAAAGTGGTTGTCTTAGACAAGTGGACATAGTGAACAGAGGTTTTATGATATTTTAAAAAAAAAAGATTGAAGGGGGAAATCGGAAGTGGTCGTTTGTGCAGATAGCATGGTTATCTTGGACAGGTGGTTTTTAGAGCAGGTTTGACCATATTCTGGTCTAGACACTGAATTCTGCTGAATGCAGAACTTGTCGGCCAGAGTGACCAATTGGTCACTTTTAAGGACAAGCGGGCTAACCCAGGTTTTGGGGGTTTCCAGAAATCTTGACCTACACCAAAAGTGGGCATTGCCCTACCTATAGGAGAAGTTTGGTTTCATTGGGGTGCATATTTGTTTGGCTATAGAGAAAACTTTCCTTGTCTTTTAAAGAAACTGAACAAGGGGCAAAAACTTTACCTTTGATTTTCCCAAAACAGCATTTTTCGGGATAGCATTCTTGTGCTTAAAAGCGGCCAGTTCATATTTGCAAGCGCCCCTTCGAAATATGTGTGCTTGCACTGTAATGTTATGAATTGTTGCAGACTGCTGAATTTTACAAGATGTCCAAGGTCAGGGATTTGAGAGCCTTATCATATACACTACCCCAAAATCAGTCCCACTTGATGTAATTTTGTTTATCATCACACAGTTTGATGTTATAATGTTGGGTGTCCTTGTTTGGGTTTTGAAACAAAAATTTGGCAAACCTGTTATGGTTTTTATGTCTTTATTATAAATACTATACTGTATACTGTCAATCCTTTCCAGTACAACCACTTGTGTGGGTGGTTGGCGGGTGCTCTGGTGTGGTTTGCTCCTTCTTTCCTATCAAATATCTATTGTCCTTATCTCTCCTCCTTTTTTTGTGTAGGTTACTCTCTTGTAACATCTATTCTTCGGCCTTTATAATATGACCATATGTGTTGCAAGTGCCGTGAAACTGACTAAAAAAGACAATTGCTTATTTTGGAGGAGTAAGAGTGGTCACCTTAGATTTAGATAATTGAGATGGTTTTTATTGGATAGTCTCATTTTATTTAAAACCAAAAGAAGCAAAGACAATGTGGGGAAGTATGAAGTGGTCATTTGTTCTGGCGATTGTATGGGGCGGGTGGTCGTTGAGGGCAGGCCAGTGGGTGGTTGGTGGATGCTGTGGTTTGGTTCACTCCCTCTTTCCAATAAAACTCCTATCATCCTTATCTCCCTTCCTTTTTTGTGCTTGTTACTCTCTTGCAACCCCTCTAATTTTTTGCACTTATATGACCTTATTGTGTTGCAAATGCTTGAAAAACTCTTACTAAGTCAGTGGTTGGTGGGTGCTCTGGTGTGGGGGCGGTTCTACTGGCTGAAGTGTCTTTAGGCCATTCCCAAAGGGGGGACATTAATATGTTCTTATGAACAGTAAAATTGTAGATTGTAAATGGGCTGATTCGTAAATGTCATGCTCATAACTGCCTGAACTGCAACAGGGAACTGCTACTTTTTCTTTTCTAATCCTTACTATCGCCATTTCCCCTCTACTTTTGAATGTTTGTCTCACTCTTGTGACCCGCTATTTCCGGGGTGCCTTGATAGTAGAAGCAGACTTTGTGTTGTTGAAGCTAGAGAGGTGAGCAGAGTAAGCCCGATTTCCTGTAAGGACTTCTCTGTTGACATCCACCCCTTGGCACTCATATGACCTTATGCAGTTTGGAGCGTGTAAAACGTCTACTAAAACTAAAAGAAGTTAATCAAACCGGTACTTTGGAAGCAAAGATTTGAGAAAGGAACCAGTAAAAAAGCCTCTTGAAGGGAACAGCGGAGTGTAACATCGTGCATCTTTATTTGTTGTAATAAGGAATACCTACTTTTTATGGAAATGCGCTAAATAAATGTTATATATTGTAATTATTATTATTATTTTCAGGAGCTGGAAAAGCATGGTGTGAAAGATGTAGTGCGAGTTTGTGAACCCACCTACAGCAAGGACAAACTGGCTGATAATGGCATTCGAGTTCTGGTGAGTATACTTCCTGTTTAATGAAGGTTTCTTAACTTGTATAATATTTCTGTTGCAAGAAAATATTGTCCTCTATTGCACGTTGTTTTACAGATTGAGCTATAAAGTATTATATTCCTTATATGTTCGCTTTAATACAACCGATTTTTCCAACGGGTGAAGTCCGAAAGTATGCCCCCGGTATTGTATGTGCTGCCTACAATCACTATTGGGTATCCACTTCGCAGAGATGTGCTTTTTGATCATGACAAGTTGTGGCCATAAAAATGTGTTCTCAAGATTTTACATATAAGGTAAAAATCATGATTCCTTTACAGGAACAAAGTTGGGAATGGCAAGTCCAAGTTCCATAGCATTTGTCCAAAGCTTCCTTACATGACTGCTAATTGTACACCAACTCATGCTGAAGTGTTTACTCAGCGTACAGTAGGGTAAAGGCTGCCCTTGTGTCCATGTGTGAGGCATCGTGGTGGAATCAGGTCCTCGTCAAAATGATAGAATCAAAGATACTGGCATTTTTTTGCCGGTTCAGCAGTTTTTATAGATTTTTTGTTTTGTGGCTCAACACCTGTTATGTCCACGTAAAAACACCTACCCTGTCTTGAATAAAAGTTGAGGTAATTGTGTTTGAATAAGGAGGTGGGTGTTGCTTGGTTTCTCCTTCAATGACAATCATCTCGACTTCTGTTCAATATTGGTAGGTATTTTTTCCATCAAAAGCAAGACAAATGAACAAGCTTTTTATTTTTAGATGAAACCATAAACTACTGCCTAAGTCACAAAATTGACCAGCGCCTGATTCCATCGAGTCGCAATACATATATGGGAAATCTTCGGCAGGCTGTTCAAATGAACTAAGCCTGGGAGAGCGCAATGTTTCAGAGGAGAAAACTTTTTTTCACTCTATGAACAATTCTACCTACACTTTTTATTCCCCCCCCCCCCCCCCCCCTTTTTTTTTCTTCACAAAATTTAGAATTTGAATTTCAACAAAATATTTCTTGAACACCCGAAAACTATTATCACGGTTGGAGATATCGCAATTTTAAAAAAATTGTCAAGATTTTGGTCTTAGTTTACTGTACTCTGGAACACTGAAGTACTTTTTCTGTCAAACCAAAGCGTTGCGCTTTTTATTTATATTTCAATCCCTGTTGTTTTGCTCCCAGCCATTTTTTACTTTTTCAGCCAAATCAAAGCGTGACTCTTATGTATTTATTTCAATCCCTGTTGTTGTACTCCCGGCTATTTTTCTCTTCCTAGGATTGGGAATTTGATGACGGCAGCCCGCCTCCACCGGAGATTGTCCAAGACTGGTTCAACCTGCTGAAGAGTCGCTTCACGGAGGACCCAGGCTGCTGCGTGGCCGTACACTGTGTGGCTGGGCTAGGGAGGTGAGTTCATTCGTGCTTCATTAGGGTGGATGGGGGTGGGTTTTTTTTTCTCCTCCTGGTTGATTTATTTATTTATTTATTTATTTTTTGTGTGTCTTTTTCTCCAGGTTTATTAAAAATTTTTTCGTTTTCTTGAATGGCTCCTGAGAGTCAAGTCGTTGTGTACTTTTTTCAGTCTTCTGTGTAAATTTGGCTACGTGTTGGTGAGTAAAAATGATAATTAATGTAGACTAGGTCTACTCATCTGTTTTTTACATTGCCCCTTCATCTACCTCCTTTTTTGTTTCCTTTATGAAATCTAAAATTTATGTACAAAGTGCCACGGTGATTGAATTATTGCTTTTGGAAAGATTGTGCTAGTTAGGGATGAGAAATTTACAATATATTTTGGAATACATCTTGTTTGAATTTCTATTTTGAATGTCTATGTTTCCTCTCACAGACTTATTTGTACTTACACTGCTTTTGATCTGTGGGAGACAAATCAGAGACACTTGACTGCTATTTTTATTTTTAGGGTTTCCGTTAACTCTTTAACCATGCAGTTTAAAATCACGTTTCCGCGTAATTCTCTCACATTTGTGGAAATGCGACCTGACATATATTACGTTTTTAAAACCGGCAGGTTTGATTGTATAATTTGTGTCACGACTCTGTGGAATCATGTGCTTGTCAATTTTTGTTAGAGTTATTTGTACCATCTTAAAGCTTAGTTCTGTGTCTTGCTTTTGATGAATAAAATTCGCCATCTATTTTGAATATAAGTCCAGATATTTGTATTTGAAGGAGGTGGGGGTCGCCTGGTGTCAGATTAATATAAACCCAAGAAAGTGGCTGCCAAAGTTTTGTGACTTCCAATGCTTGTTGAGTGTCCTTGGAAACAGCAAATTTACATTTTTTTGTGTCTTTCATCAATTTTTTTCCGTAAAATCCGCACAGAATGTGTTTTTTAATGGACATGAAAGGTGTTCAGCCAAAAAAAAAAAAAAAAGAGAGAGCAATTGGAGAAAATTGTCCAATTTCTTGAAAAATACTGGTTTCTTTGATTTAATTTATTGTTTTGACGAGCGCCTGATTTCATTGCGATGCCTCACATTTATCAGATTGATGACTTATGCTCTTCTGTGTTGTTCTCTTACACAGGGCTCCTGTACTGGTTGCTCTCGCACTGATGGAAGCAGGACTCAAGTATGAGGATGCAGTGGAAATGATTAGAGAGTGAGTTTTGTCTTTTGTGGTTGTTTTGTTCCAATTATGGGCACTGACACGAGGATTTTTAACAGGTGCAGTGGGATTATTCTTGGCCTGCTGTTCTGTGCTTCCTCTTCCCTCCTTCCTTTCCCACTCATAGTTGTTCAGTTCTCCTGTGTGGGTGGTTTAATTTAAGAATTTATTTATATCAAATTTTTTGTATTTAAGCATTATAGTAGAGGTGTTGACCAGAATCAGTGAACTGTTGCCAACGGAACCAACTTTTTTTTCGCACTTTCATATGACCGTATGCAGTTGCGGGCGCCTTAAAACTCTTATCCCTTGGTGGTCTAAAATCGATAAGAGTAGGCTTCGGCCGCCACCCGGGCAAAATTCAAAATTTCCTACCAACTGAAAAAGTTTAGTGTGTCCCGCGCGCTCATATGACCTTATGCAGTTGCGAGCGCCGTAAAACACTTACAAAAACAAACAAACAAACAAAACTCTTACTACAACAAACAGTGTGGGTAGTTGGTGGGGGCTCTGGTGTGGTTTGCTCCTTTTTTTCCTTTCAAGCATCTTTTGTCCTCATCTTTCCTCCTCCTTTCTTGTGTTTGTTACTCTCTTGTTGTAAAACCTCTAATCTTCAGCACTGATATTTGAGTGAATTGTGTTGCATGTGTTGTAAAACTCTTACTAAAGCAGGGTCCTTTGCATCTTTCCTTTCTTGTGATATAAGTATGCCTTTGTTTATAGTTGATATTTCACTTGAATTTCTGTTTCGTTTGTTTCTGCATCCTCTATGTCCGTACCCCCCCCATGTTTATCGGATTTCCATGTTTATCATATTTCATATCAGTTTCTGTCGTCTGTGTCTATCTTACTGTTCCCAAATAGTTGGGTGGCATCGTTAGTCTAGTGATTAAGCTACAGGAAACTTAATTGTGAGATTACGGGTTCATGGGTTCGAGCCTCTGCTCGGTCTGACATTGTGTCCTTGGAAAAAGCACTTAATATGAATTTCCTATTTGGCTTGGTCCTTTTGGAGATGGACATTTAACTCGAAGGTCCTGCCTCATAAATAATCTAATTATGTTGAAAGGGGCGGGGCGTTAAACCTATACCGTTTCACCAAATTGTTCCGATTTGATCGTTTGCAGGAAGCGGCGCGGTGCTATCAACACAAAGCAGCTTGCCTACCTGGAGCATTACAGGGCCAAGGCGAGGCTCCGGCAAAAGAACGGACGCAATGGAGGGCATCACGGCTGTACTGTGCTGTAGGTCGACCACTCGGGGTGACCCCGGCTGTTTCAACCACTACAACACAACGTGTATGTGTGTGTGTGTGTGTGAGCTGCCTCCTGGGGGGAAGATCAAAAGGAATACGGAGCCCTTGTTTGTATTATTGTCAATGACTCTTCTCTTGGCATAAGTAGTGCTGTATTATACATATTGTTCCATATTTTTAAAAAATTTGTCAAGTTTAGTTTGGAGGAGCATTCATACAGCTGTAGCGAGAGTTTCCAGAAGTGCTTGTTGCATTGATTTCTGCTGCAGATGCCTGCTGTGTTTGATTCAACATGAATTTGGTCATTGTCAGTGCTAACTAAATATATTTTGTTATTATACTCCTGTTTGTATCGGGTTAGAGCAGTCTCTTTACTTGAAGAAGCTTCGAACACTGATGTTTTGTTTTATTGGTATCTGGTGCGTTTAACGTTTTCCGGGCATTTTTATCTGAACATAGTAAGCAAGTGTGGTTTCTGTTGCAACTGTCTCCCAACCCAAATTCTACAGAATATTTTTCTTACACTATTGTATAGAAAGAAAGGGGTGTAATTTTTGTTAATTCGTCTCTCTCACATATCCCATCTATGGTAACACTTTGGTCATCATCAGTGCAAAAGAACATCCTGTCTGTAGGTACTGTGTGGTAGAGAATGGGACTGATGAACCGTCTTGTGTCTTGTTATATGTACACCAGGGTGCTTAAGCCAAATGAAATGATCTGCTGACTTTGGATGGGCGAGCTGTTGCAATATATGATTTTTGTGTTGGGCGTGAGTGGAAATGTCTCAGGGTAAAAATGGAGAACAGATGGGTTTGTTTTTTTAGTATAAACATTTGTGATTGGCGTGAAAAGAGTACCTCGACCTGGTTTGTTCGCTGGTTGTTTTTTTTCTCCAGTCTTTAGAAAGTGGAAATAATTGAGTCCTGCTAGCTCATGCTCTTGTTCTCCTGGCTTTGTAGCTGACCTGATCCACACTGGGTCCTGCATTTACTTTTTTTTTGTGCCACCACCCTATATGGGTAAAATTTTGCACAATGTGGAATTACATTTTTTTAAAAAGTTTTATTTTGCTGTCAAATTGAATCTTGTTTCAGCATCAAATATAACTTCCCTGTAAACCCCCCCCCCCCCATCCTTTCTAGTGATGAATAGGAACCTCAGTGTCAGCTTGTGCTGTGGAAACTAGCCCAATTTAGGTGAGTTTCATCTGATCTGGAAGAAAAAAAGATGTACCAGTTTAGATAGGTGCTGTTTGTGTGATTTTAACAAATGAAACGGTGAAAGACTTGCTAGTGTTTAAGACTGACAGACAGGTCTGCGATTATTCAGAACGTGGGATTGTTGCGTATGTGTGTGTGTGTGTGGTGCGGAAAGATGGTTTGTCATGTGTTGTGAAAGGGAGTCTTGTCTTTGTTGGAGAGTTTTTGAGTAAGAGGGAAACTGTTAGTGGTAGCTGGGGTGAGAATATGTTTGTTGGAGTGTATTTGAGTAAGAGGGAAACTGTTAGCTGAGGTGAGATTATATGTTTGTTGGAGCGTATTTCAGTAAGAGGGAAGCTGTTAGCTGGGGGCAGATGCTTTGTATTAGCTGTGATCTCTGCTTATAGCCTTTGATATTCCACATTGCAGGGCACGTGCGCTTGTGCGAGCTCGGTGCTTGTAAGCCTTTGATGATATTCATATTGCAGGACACGGGTGTGTGTTCAATGCTTGTACTGAAGATGCCAAAATGAAATTAGAGCTATTTTATATTCTATAGAAGTTGAATTTTTTTGTAAACCAAATGAGGAGGCTCCTGTAACAAAAAAAGTGTGCATGGATGCCACTACTGCCATATTTTCTTGATTGTGATCAACTTGAGAAAACCTCGCAACTTACTTATCTTTTGTGAATGAACATTTTTTAAATTCTTTCTTTTACATTGTAGCGAGGGCAAGAGGAACGTTAGTCTGGTTGATAATATTTCTCTTCATTGCGGGGGTTTGGGGTTTGGTGGGGGATGTGGTGTTACGTAAAGGCCTGGTTACACTTTACAATGTATTGTACAAAAATTAGGCAATCTATCGTTCGTTCATTTAGGAGAGATGAGCAGAGTGGCAGAATCCTTTTGAAATTTGCAGCAGTGCGGGATTAAACGTTCCGTGCAAATAAAGCCATCTGGTGGGATCTAATGCATCACACTTTGAAAGCCAGTCTTTTGTCCAAATAAGCCTCTTGTACCATCTTTTGTTAAGTAATAGCTCTCGGAGTGCAAGCAAATGGATACATTGTTGCACAGAGACTTGTATGGCAGCTCTCTGATTCAAAGAGAAGATGTCTCGCCAATTGTAAGAGAGTTGGATGTTAGACTTGAACATATAAACACGCTGTACAGTTGGATAAAACGGACAGTTCTCATATATGCAATGTATCGTTGCTTTAACGTGAGTCAGGTTGCGGGTCAATTTCTGGATCCACAGGACTGATTTCTTTCTTTTGATTCCTGTCTAGATTATATAATGGTATTTGGCACAAATTAACTCCTTGTCTTATAATTGTTAAATGTCGACTAGCAAGAGCTGTCGTATTTGGGAGAGGTTAAAAAAAAAAAAAATTATCCTTGAAATTTTAAAGCTTTATAATTTTGTCTTAGTTCTCAAGGTATCGCTCACAACTGGTTCATTAGATCAATGGTCTTTACAGTAATGCATACATGTCTTTAAAAAAAGTGACTCTTCCTGAAAATACTTAGAAATGATTTTTAAAAATTATTGGAGATTTTTGATCAACTGAAGAGCAAAAATCAAAACGGCAAATATTGAAAGTGAGACAGTTAAAGTTAAGCTAATCAAAGTTCTGTTGAAGAGGTTAATGGTAAGAAACTAAAATTGTCAGTCTTTATTTTGTTTTGGTGTTTCCAAGAGGAACACCCAACTAGCAGTTACACCCTTTCCTGCAAGTTATGGATTCTTTTTTTTGGTTTCACTCAAAGAACTATGACAAGCTTTATCACAGTTGTTTTTTTAAGGGGGGATTGGGTAATTTTTGTATTGATGCCGTCTTGGGGAGTGTATCGCTTACTCTTTCAAATCTGCTCTTGGCTGTCCAGTTTGATGTGGAGTTGATGGTGTATGCCTTTTTTTTCCAGCTGAAAACTGCGGAGATTGTATAGTGGGGGTATGTGTGTTGTGTGTGCGTGTGTGGGTCAGTGAGTGAGCTGCAGAAAGCACCAGTTCCACTGTTGTGGTCCTTACCTAGCTTGCCAAGGAAGATCCCACCCCTGTTTTGTCCCGTCAGTGTCATGTGTTTTTATCGGGATCCCCTCATCTCATCAATGTCGTCATGTCTGAGATTATTTATATTCACAATCACATGAACGTTCTTTCATAACCATGTGACTCATTTTGATTCGTCAACCTTTTGCACTTTGCAAAATTTTGTATCACGTCCCATTTCGTCAACGTTTACAATGCTGGAGACCTGCCATATTGTAACTGAGGCTCAAGATGGCCCCTACGAGTCTCTGCGGATTGTGTGTGCATGAAATAAGCAGAGGCCAACAAAACTGGCTACCTTTCTTTTGTGTGCGACTTATTAAAAGTCTTTCCCAGATCCCCCAAGAACAGATTTTGTATAGCCTAATTGTATCATAATATGCCATTCATTCAGTTCTGCCGGTGTTACCTTCTTTTGTTCTTGGGTTCTTTTTTTCTTTTTTTTTTTTCGTTCATCAAGCCCTGTCTTTTAAAACTTGGAGAGAGCTGCTTTTGTGTTTAGGATTACAACAACTGGTTTTGTGTGGGCTTGTTGTGTTGTTTGTTTGTTTGTTTCTGCCCCACTTGTTTCCAAAGAGTGGCAGCAGCAGTCCTGTCGTGCACTGTACCCCCGTGTACTGCGAGTTTGTATCCCGTCCACCCTGTCCTGAGCAGCCTAGCCCCCCCCCCCCCTCCCCCTCCCCCATCCCCCCCATCGCAGGTCCTTCCCTCCCGTCCCATGTCCAGCCCTGCAAGCTGTGATTCTCATCACCTGTCGCAGATTTGTGATCTGGGTCAAACTAGTATGATAGAGAAGCTCATTAAAACTTGTTCGATATCTCAATATTACACACGAGTTGAGTTCTCTTTTTGTCAAAACTTGTGAACTGTCAATTCTTTTTTGGTGTTCTATGTGGTGATGTTGTTTGTTGCAATGGGAAACAGTTTAATTCCCAAGGTATATGGTGGGTTGTTGGCGGGTGCTCTGGTGTGGTTTGCTTCTTCTTTCCTATGAAACATCTATCGTCTTTATCTCCCCTGTAACACCTCTAATCTTCTGGCGCTCATATGACCCTATGCTGCCGCGAGCACCGTAAAACCTGTATTGATAAAACTAAAGCAAGATATATGTGGCTATATGTGGCTATATGTATATGGTTGATAGAATTGAAGGTGAATTTCAGACCTGTTGACGTTCTTCTCTTGGAGTATATTTGCAAGTGCATGATTTCTGTTGGAAAAAAAAGAGCACAGCACTTAAGTCAAAAGTAGTATAAAGCATCAAGATTTTTAGGATACCTGTCTGCAGTTTGCACTTAAAAGGTATTGGCATCAGTGGTCAAGTGGTTAGGCCACCGGACTCGTAATCGTGAGGTTGCCGAATGGGGGATTCAAGCCTCATGTCCAACCTTGTGTCCATGGGATAGGCACTTTAAAGAAATTTCCTCACTTAACCCAGGTGGAATTAGGTATCCTGCCATAGACTGCAAAAGATCTTGTCAGTATGTTAGTAGTTCTGTTTTAGGGCCTATAAAACGGCAGCTTGCACTGTATGCTTCCCAGGAAGTTGAGATTGTTTTAGAATGCTATCATGTTTGCGGACGGTAATAATATTGTAAAGCGCATAAAGCTTGTCATTGAGTGGGAATTTGCGCTATACAAATGGTATCACCTCTTAAGTGGTTGACCAGTGCTCTGGTTTGCTCCTTCTTTCCTATTATACTTTTGTACATCTATCATCCTTATAAATCTCTCGTCCCTCCTTTTTTATGTTTATCACTCTCTTATACGTTTCCTCTTCAATTTGGAAGGAGAGTGGGGGTGGGTGGTTGGCGGGTGCTCTGGTGTGGTTTGCTTCTTCTTTCCTATCAAACATCTATCGTTCTTATCTCCCCTTCTTCTTTTTATGTTTGTTACTCTCTTGTAACAGCTCTAATCTTCTGGTGGTCTTATGACCTTATGCAGTTGCGAGCGGCGTAGAACCTCTACTAAAACTAAAACTAAAGGAGAGTTGTGGGGGGGGGGGGGAGGGGGTGTCTTTGCTAATGGAAAAGGCTTCCTTGTTATAAGTTTGCGGAAATTAACATTTTTCACTCTTTACAAATTACATGTATGTAACACAAGGATCAAGTGATAAGTTGAGTCTGATGATGATGAAAAAAAGCTCGAAAACATTTTGTGCGCAGCTAAAATAAGGCAATTAGTCAGTAGAAAGTTGAAGAATGGCCTGCAGAATTTAAAAATTAAATACAGCAAGAGGAAAAGAAACTTAAGCATAAACTGAGTTTGCATGTTTTGAAGTCAAAGTCAAATGGATGCCTGAAGTAATTCAGAAAGAAAAGCTGCCTGTAATGTCCATATATTTACATAAGAATTGGCTCCCAGGACTGTCCCGAGGGTAGTTGGCGGGTGTTCTGGTGTAAATGTCTCCTTCACTCCTATTAAACATCTTAAACATCTAGCGTCCTTATCTCTCCTTCTTCTTTTTTATGTTTGTTACTCTCCTGTAACACCTCTAATTTTCGACACCTATATTATATGACCTTTATTGTGTTGCAAGTGCTGTAAAACTCTAACGAAAAAAAAAAGACTGCACCAGACTGGAGAATCTGACACTGGAGAGGACATTATAATTACAGTGGAGTCTACTTATAACGAGTCCTGAAATAACGAGAAATCTGTTATAAAGATACTATTCTAAAACCGTTTTTTTCCCCTTCTTTATCTTTGTAAATAAAATACTGCTATAGTGCACTAAAGCATTCAGACAAACTCGCGAGTCGATTATAGCGGAATATTGCTGCTGCTGTACACAGTGCATGTATGTAAAACCTCGCCAGTTGAGAAACATGCTGGTGATCAAGTGAAACAAAGAAAGGGAGAGCCGGTGTGTGCCAACAGTGAAGGCTGGGGCGAATGAGTGGGGCGTGTGTGGCATGCGCAGACAAGCAGAACTCATTTGGTGAAAGGCCAGCCCATTCTCCTAGGCTTACCATGCCTCTCATTTCTCCAATGATGGATGGAGCGAGGTGGGGGGGGGGTCAACACAGCGGGCGACATAGCCTAGAGCCCTTTCTTTCTGATCGCCAACACCGAGCTGTCAACATCGCTAGCGCTAGAGAAAATAACAGGGTTCAATTTGCGTAGACTTGGATATAACAGTGATCTGCAGCGCACGAACTTTCGATCCTTCAAATTATTAAAATTTGTCCCAACCAAGACATTCCGCCTGTTTGTATGATCGCCTGCCTAAACACGAA